CGGAAACAAACCAAACAACGAACTTCTACTGCTGTAATCAGGACCTATGCAACGTCATTTTCGAAACGGAAGAAGAGTCCAAGCCAGAATCTCCATCTGAAGCTATGCAAAACGACACTGCTAAGTCATCAAATTCCTTAAAGTCACTTATCTTTTTATATACTTCTGTCGCATATTTATGCCACGTATAACAGTTGGTTTCAGTAGTATAAATAAAAAAATCCCTATAGCGATCTAAAGCAATATGTGAGAGAACTTGAGTCGAAGCTACGACACTTTCCGGCAGTTTTTAAACGGCACTCTTCGTTTTACAATGCAACAAAAAGAACTAGAAACTATTTTGGAAAACGTAAAAACAATGAAAAAGGATTCTCGTCGAAGTTATTACCGGTCAAAGAGACTCCAAGACCAAAACATAAGAAGAATAGGGGATTATAAAGTATTAAAAGGTTTTGTTATGTTGCAGACTAGAAGATTGCAGAACGCTCTTTATTTTACTTCACCTATATGTTTTGACAGCTTTCCAATCACTATGAGCTCTTTTCGTCGTTTCGGTATTACAGTCATGCAGCAAACAGCTGCAGAGCCTCAAGCTGGTTAATAAGTAAGAATTTTTATTGTACTATACCAACCAATTATAGCTAGAATGCCAAACGAAGAAGTCTTGAAGTGTTCTAAGCTGTAGTTCAGAGATTGATTCAGATCCTGCCAGAAAGCAAAAGTTGTTTAGTAACCGAGGATAATACACTGGAAACAATTAGCTTAAAAGAAAACAGAGGTAACCATTAGTAAAAAACGTTAAAAATAAGGAAAAAAGATACTCTGTTTCTCAGAAGCCGGTGCTACAGGAAGTTCCTAATCAGAGATATACATATATAATATATATACAAAAAACATACATACGAACAGCCTTCCCCTAAATCCCACTCACCGAGTTACGACTTTAAATTATTGTATAATACTGACTATTTGATCGGCTTCATCTCGGTTCCAAATGTAAGGCAAGCATCCTACCTTTGGCAGCTTTCCAAAAGTTGGCAGCTGAACTTACGGAAGTTCTATCCGTGTAAAGTGTGGGCGAAAAAACGGAAGTCGGTAAGACCGACTGGAACGTGAACATGGAAAGCGAATTTAGAAAGGATTGACTCCTGTCATCATGGTTTTTACAGTCTGTCTTGACAAAAATTATACGTTACAGGGCAAATTCTGAGTTTTTTTTTAGGATGCTAGAATTTTTCTTTTACCAAACAATTTTGGTGCATTTATCAGCACTGCCAATTACCGATTAGAGCTAAAATTTTTAAAACGTCCTTCATCTGAGGAGAGATTATCAGGCACTTGAGTAAAGCATTTGGAAGGGGTTGAAGGAATGGTGGGAACATTGAATGATTGTTAGAACGCTGTCTTTAAAAATTCGACAGTCAGATTGGAAGATTTTTCTCGAAACCTGAGGAGATCAAAATTTTGAATTGAAAACAAGTTAACTTGAGCATGTATAACTACTTTTCAAAGATATGTAATTGAGTGGAGAAAGGCTAATTTTTATGTAGTACCGTATTTTTTCCATTGAAAGAGTGTATGTTCACTTTAACACTGTGTTTACTGCATAACAATATTTTTACTTAGTGACATATTTCTACTAGTGCCTTGAATTGCTTGGTTTACTTTTACTGTAAATGTATGTTCTTATCACAGGCTTTCTTTTGGAAGGTATATGCAGAACTGTTAATTCAAGTTCTATTAAAAGTCAGCTGCTAGTTCAAAGTTTCAACTTCAAAGGTCTCGGTTAAAGCAATTGGTGAAAACTGCTTTCTGGAGTTTTAAAAAAACATTGACAATACGCCTGTGTCTTTCAGTTCCACTAATTTAGTTAATTTCATTAATCAGATACAACCGCAGTCATAGGGCAAACACTTGATTTTATAATAAACGAAGTAATTTACATGGTTTTTAGTGCCTTAATTACACGAAATTACTCAAGGGTGTTTTGATTACAGATGCTTTTTTCTTGTGCAGACAATTCTCATCGTTTCAGTGGAATGATTTTCACATGTCTTCTCTGTGTTGCTTCCTTACCATTAGATTCTTTTCTTCTTGTTCTATAATCCCCATCGGTTCTTTGTGACTGTTCAAACATTTTGATAACCGGCTGAAAGGATAGTAGAGCGATGGATTTGAAGTCTAACTTCTTTGAAGGACAAAGACTGCGTTCGTGAACCGTAATGTAGGATTTTCTACATCCATCTTCCTATTAAGATTTAAATTTTGGCAACAGCAGACACGACATAAAAGTTTTATTTAATTTTTTTTTTTTTTTTTTGATATCATATCAATGTCTGGGCAGCTATATAATAGAAGACCAGCGTTATTTTTCGACTTGTCCGCTCAGCAACTGTCTTATAATTCTTGTTGCAAGTCCACTCTTATTGTTGCTGTGTTTCTTTTACTCAGTAAACACTGAGTTGTTTGTCCAACATGAAAGATGAATTTTTTTCGGTAGGGCAAGATTTTTTTTGCTTAGTCAACAAACATGATAACTGGGATACTTTTAGCTGCACTCGTAAACATCTGTTTTGCTCAAACGTTGCCTCTGCTGTTAAAGGCGACACAAATGGATGTAAAAGTTAATGTATAGTTATGGAGGAGCTAGTTCAATTTATTCACAAATACTGATAATTATATTCTGTATATTATCTAGAATATCTGTTGCTAACAATTACATCTTTATTAAGACTGATAATCAGCAACCTGCGTTTGTCTTCTGGCACCGACTCACTAAACTTGTGGACGTAAGTGAGAAAACCTGGTTACTTATAAACAGAAATTTCTTTGTTCAAAAATTGCGTTAGGCTATTGACAGTAGTTTCTGTAAGAAAGAAACGAGGCAGCACTAATAATTTTCAAGCAATTTGGAAATTTGGAAATTATAATAAAACAAGGATTTTTCACAGCTTTTGTCAGTCATAAATTTTGAATAAATATTTTTATGTTTATTTTTTAGTGGACAATTAATTGTCGCAAAAAACTTTTTATTTGAAATTTTGAAACAGTTAATCAACTTTTGTTCCTGAAATACTTTTTTCGAGGTACTGTGGCTAAACAATACTTTTTTTAAATAAAACACTGTTTGTAGTCGTGAAAAAAAGTCGTTTTGTCAAAAATATTATTTTGACTTTTTGCAAATTCAGGCTAAACTTTTATTGATGAAATGAATAGGAAAATTTTACCAAATGAAGCTGCTTAGAGTGTACTTAAATAGGCACCGAGGTGTTAGTGACTGTTAGCTAATATTGGGAATACAAGGTTGTTGGAAATAGTATAATATTATATATTCTTACACTCATATTTTATTACTATTAGAAGTAGATACTATTGGAAAAACATCAATAATACTTTCGCTTATTTGGAAGGCGATGAAGTTTGGACTCTAGGAAACAGTGCTATGGAATACCGTTAGCTATCATTACTTTTTTACTGTCATTTTTAGCAAGTATTTTTGCTGTTCAACTTTGTTTCATTTTTTTAACAGTATTCAACAAAAAAAATTTTTTTTTAGTTTTTCTAATTTGACAACACACCTAACGGAAGAAATCGGCTGAAAAATCGGATGATAATGCCAAAACGTTTAAATAACAAGAATTTCATATTGATACCAGTGTAATTGGATATCCTATTGTCAGTTCGCCTTCTCTGGCTAAGCGTAGGTTTTCGTTCTGAGTAAACATTGTTAATTTGCAAAAACAGGAAAATATTCATTCAAAAAAACACTGAAGAAGAAAAATCTTGAATTTAATGTAGTCTACAAGCTTTTTTTTTCTTTTATGGATATAAGAAACGATTAACAATAATGGTAAAAATTTCTTTAAAACTTTAGGTCTTGTTTTCAAAAGTACATTTCTTCTTAAACATATCTATTCAAAAAAATTCGTTTTCGAAAATATGCTTAAACTGTTAACCGCTAATTTGAAAAACACCCTCTTTTTTTTGAGGGGACGAGGAGAGGTGGGTGAAAGAGGAAAGAAAGCGCTTTATGACTATCAGAAAAACGTGGATATATTGATGTGAAATTTGGGCTTTTAGGTGCAAAAGTGAGATGCCTCGGCTGTATAATATAAAAAATAAGAAAAGGATTAGGATGATATTTCCAGCAAAAGATTTTGAAACATGTGCTTGTGAAAATGCCGACTTACCTCCCTGGACTGGTGAACTGCATGGACTGAGCCAGGTTCGTTACAACCAGTATTTTCATATTTCTGCGTGATTTAGTTGACATGCATAAATTTTACTTATATAAATAGACCTAGCAATTGCTTTAATTCGCTTTCTCTTAGGTAATTCCTAATTGTTGAAGACATGCGTATTGGGTACATACAAACTATTTTTTCAGTTTCTAGATTATGTGCTTTTTTTGAACTTAGTTGATTTTGCTGTACAAATAAAAATAGACATAGACAGCGATAAGCTTAGTGATCAGACTGTGATCAGACTGACGTCTGGCAACTTGGTCAAATGGTCACTGAAGTATATTCAAAAAATTGTTTTTTGGGAACACTCTCATTATATACTCGTTTTAAACACCTTAGCTTCACTATAAAAAGTTATAGGCATTACTTTCAAAGACGCGTAAGATGAAGGTATTTTGGTGGTGTGTAATGGTGGTATGCATAACGTGTGGTACAACCACAACCGTATTAGTTATTGTTGAGTATCTACAAGGTCCTACAGCAACATCAACAACAATCCGCTTGGTAGTATTTAAAATATGTACCTATCTAGCCTACTGAATCAACCACCCCACATTTGTTTTTGAAAGTCACTTGCATTTTATTACGGAAGAGAGCAGCTTTACACTTCGTCTACCAAACTACTATTTAAAACTATAACGGGTTAGGTACTGCGATAGGTTACTGTAATATTTAGGTCAATTCATTGGAATTACCCGCAGTAACTATATGTCCAAAAGTGCCGGATGCATTCAACGCAATTGGACTTTTGGCTGATATTCAGCATGCTGTACCAGCATTAGCACGTTCAGAGGCTCTTAATCTTGTTCGGTTTTGGATTGGTGGTTATGGGCTAGAAAATATGGATGCTTTGTCAAATTTTAATAGTAGCTATTTGAACCAGCTTAATGAATATTATCAAATTTGGTCACGCGGCTATGATATCGATGGATTCTTTCACACGATGCAGGTGAGTCAATTTCTTTGAGAATTAGAGCACAGAAACATTTTTTAATTGTTGTTTTCTACCAGCATTTGTAATACTCGACTACATTTTAATAATTTTTTCAGAGTAAATACGGTTATCGATGTAATGAGTTATTTCATTCATGTTCGCTGGGCGGCATTACACACGACTGCTGTAATGATATTTTTAAAAGGAAAATTATGATGAGACGTGGAATTTGTTACACTTTGAGGCGAGGGGTTAATCAGGTTTGTTTAAAAATAACGTTAATCTTTTTAATCTTCTTCTGATATTGGCAGTTTTGCAACATCTTTTTCACGTTCTTTGATGACTTTTTTTTTTTGAAGTTTTTTTGAACTTTTTGTTTGAAGACACCAGTAACTGAAGCCATTATGATCGGAACTATTAATGATGTTCTTAAAAGAAATTTAGTTGATGGAAAAGGAATTGTGATAGAAGAAAAAACCTCCGCAACTGGTTACTTTACATTTTGAAAAAAATGATAAAAAATCTTAGAAAACTTAATTTTGAGTTCTCGTTAAGCCTCGAACTTTACAGACAGAAGCAGACGATATGGGTCGTCTAGTGTTAAGTATGAAAGCTCCACCCAGCATTACAACACAACGTTCAAATTACGTCCAGGTTTTGTGATGACAGTAATTTATTCTTTTCTTACTTTTAACCTTTTTTCCACATAATAGTCAGTTAGACGCATCGTCTTGATTAGTACCAAATTACTTGTCTGTAATGGTAATTCAACGTGATCTAAAATCTTTTATTTTTGACAGCAGCTGTCTTGTTTCACCAGAATCAAAGTTTTTCCTAATGCCTTGTCATTATGTTTACTGATCCATTTCTTCTGAAAAATAATCATAGATGCTAAAGTATTTTACTCAAGTTATTTAGGACCAAATTATTGTATATGTGACGGATAATTATGATAAAATACTTGATTTCCCACGATTTTACCTTTATCCAAACCAGTGGAATAGAATACGATTTACAGCAAGATACCTGGAACTATTAAAACAGGAGAAAGTCTGTACAAACGAGGTTTAATTTGTTGTTAACTAAAGATTTTTTCTTTCATCCGGAAATAAAGTATAATAATTAATGCTTTGAAAGTTGTAAATTATAAATACTAATGTAAAAAGTGTCAAATGAAAGTGATTGAACTCTTTTCACTGCAACGTTCAATTCTTTTGTTTTGGCAGATTGCTGGCAAAGATACAGAATGTATCATACGGCGGTGGTTGTTAACAAATGTAGTTTATCCCTACAATTGCACTCTGTCTTATTTAAATATATCAAAAATCCCAATATCGAATGTAAGTATCGCTAAGTAGTATTTCGTATTTTACTTGATATCATTGAAAGTAAGCTTAGATAATTTCAAGTTGTCAAAAAATTCTTTACAATTAAAGTTTTTTAATTTTGGAGAACTAAGTGTCATTTGTTTGCAGCCTTGCGAACCTTTAACTCTCGCAAGCGATTATTACAACGCCATTCAGTTGGTATGGACTTCATCAACTGTTAAAGAAACGGTACTTTTTGATATCGCGATATCCTACTTGCGGTGCTACTAAACTTTAACTGATGAAAAATTCCAATGTTATTTTATCACCACTGATTTTTTAATAGCTTTGAATATGAATAATTAGCAGTTTTAGTGTATACCGGGATGTAAACGATGGGACAATCAAATATCACTGCAGCAAACAAAAGCTTTGGAACCTTTTAAAAAATACGCGTTCAATTTAGAAATTTCATTTAACGACTTACAGGTGAACTCAATTAACAACTTTTTTTAGAATCTACTTTCTAATTATCAGCACCTTAATTTTGGCCAATTTTTCAGTATGAATACGTCAAGGAAGTTTACACGATAAGTGTCCCTGGCTTTATGTCTCAAATAGGTGGACAATTCGGTTTTTTTCTTGGGCTTTCAATTATAACATTCATACAGATGACACTTTATGCAGTTCATTACTGCATAACATTATTCTACAAAAAAACTTCTCGTTATATCCGAACAATATCAGAAATTCGTTCTAGAGCAGGTAGAAGAAACTGTATGTATGTAAGAGTCATTGTCTAGAAATTGTCGTTACTTTACTAGTTGGCTGTTTCAGGCAGTATTCATCCGCGTAATTCATTTGCTCTCAACGCTTTCCCATCAAGGCCTTTGGATGTCGAAAGTGACGAGTCTTCTGGAAATACAACTCGTCGTCAGTCAGTTGTTCAGATATCTGCACGTCTAGTCAGTGAGGACGATGACGCGGTGGAACATCATCTGCAAAAGCCCATCGCACTCAAAAAGCAGCCTGGGAATGACCTCGATATTTACCGAATAGATGCTGCAACACTTCCAACTATTCTTGCAAGTAATACTAACTCTGACGACGACGATAGTTCTACGTGTAAAAAGTGCAGTTTGAAAAGGAAACAGTTTGGTAGAAATCGAATACATAAGGGTGATGTAACTTTTGCGTACAGAACCAGACCGAAGTGGGACGTAGACCTTCACCGTACCATGTCTGATCAGTACCAGTCTGAGGTACGAAGCTCTGCTAACGTAGTAGAAGCTGCGATACCGCGTTCAAGAAAACGTACTTTAAAGAAAAGAATAAAGCCAGAAGATGATGCTGAATTAAGTGACAGTGAGCGCAATATTGTTGAAGCTGTTAATTCCGTTGTGCACGGTTACACAAATGCATCAATAGATCCGTAAATCAGTAAGTCGTCTGTTTTTACTGGTTAAATAGATTTTTTAAAGCAATAGCAACTGCATTCTCTTTGCTAAAAAATGCTAGAAAAAAGTATATATTGCAGATGAAAATTAACCAATTACAGCTGTCTTAGCAAAAATGGTATTTTCTTGCTTACAGTGTACAAATGAAACTTTTAATTGCTTTTCGAATGTTTCTTAATTCGACTGTTATCAGCCAGGTTCTAGAGGATATTATTATTTTATTTGAAACGTCTAATCAAATATATATTTTCAGATCAAATTTATTTACTTTAAACAGCTTGTCTTCAACTGTTGAATACAATAACCGATAGGTGTAGATTGTTGGCCCAATAGAACAGACGAACGTTTTACGACAATGAATGAATTATGCACAGCCGGTAAAAGTGTTTTCTACCACATTACTGCGTACAGTAACGATGGTTGGGGAAGAAAAAAAAGAAACTAAAAATATTTGTTGTCAAGACCGAAGTGTAAATTTAGTGTTGCTAATCTGTTAATTCGTTCTGCTATCGTGCTTTGTTTTCTGTTTAATTTTTCAAGCGTAAAACAAGACGTTTCAAAAACTTGATATTTCATATTTGCTTTCTAAACAATATGCAATTAAATAATGTAACATTAATGCAATACAAAATTATAGCGCAAAAATATATGTACATATA